CTATTAGTATTATTATTTGAATTTTTTTTGGAATTTTCATGAACAGAAAATCTTGATGTCGGTAAGTATGAGGTGCCAAAAATGCCGTTCAGAAGCTCTCAAGATCGGAGCTAAAAGCACTGGTAAGTTATATTTCATAACATATCCCTTAATTGAAGATCGATTCTGACTGGTAACACCGCAACGTATAAAGTATAAACGAATGTTTGTACATGATCAATCATCATCTAAATATTGTTTAGAATCGGAATTTGGTTATGTTATATGTATGTAGCAAATAAGATTCCCTTGTTCAATCTCTTTCTTGCTCGAAGTTTCTCATGTCTTAATAAGAAGAAAATATGAAAACAATGGTTTAGGAGTGACATTTGTGGGATTAGAAGGAGAAGAGAAAGACAAAGTGGTGGTGATCGGAGAAGGGGTGGATGCCGCCGGTTTGGCTCTCCGGCTTCGCAAGAAAGTTGGTTTTACTGATATTATTAGCGTCACTGATGTTGACACTTCTAAGAATTAAAGTCTTGTTATGTAATTAAATTTTGATCATACAAATTTTACTGTTATCATATGGTTTCACATACTTGAGCTAATTTAGTGGCAAAACTATTTGCTTTCTCAGTTTTTCTTACAGTTTAATCATTGTGTTGGGTATTTTTATACTATCATTTATTCATTTTAACCAAAGCCAATCCACGATGTAAATATTTTTGAAAAATGAAACAATATTATTGAAGAATATTTAACTTTTTTAAAAAAAGTGTTGGAATAATTTTAAAAAGAGTGGGAAATCCTCGATATGACCAATGAACGAGGCTGCAACATATCATATTCTCGTCTCTTGTTGTCACTGTTTTATTACAACAATATATGAAGCCGAAATTTGGATAAAGAGAAGAAAACTCAAAACTTTTTTTCTCAGGAGAAAGTTAGTGTAGCTCTCTCATGAGCAAAATCAAAGAGAGAGAGAGATGAGTTTGGTGATTTTACTCAGATGCTACTTGAATCCCTACCAAAGATGAAACGCCTCATCCAATCTGAAACCACAAGCACTCTCGTGCGCCAACTCACTTGCTTACTGTTCCATCACAAACCATTT